TTTGTCCCTTGGAAGACTATTATAGTCTAATATTATTATTAGGAAGTTACTTCCTCTATATTTTATGTTTCTCAGTTAAATCCCATCACTCCTCATTCTACTATACTAAAACAATTCTCATAATTTTGCTCAATACCTTTCAGGGACTTTAGATAGCAGAAAGAAAAAAATAATAGCCATAGCTCCAATTTATGTACTATTTAAAAAAAAACAAACTCTTATTTCATTTCACATATACAGTATTACAGACCTTCTGACCTTCACAGTATCTGAACCCAGATTTAATTATATTAAATTCTCAAATCTTTTAAACCATGAATTAAATTGTATTGGTAGTGGATATAAACAGGCAAAAGTATATGACGTCCTTTAAAAGGTACTGAAAGTCTTGAAGAGGTGGTGTCAGTAGTCTTGGAAAGGCTAATGAACTGTATTAGAAGTTTGTTTTCGAAGGCTCACTAAATTCTGTGCACATATTAGCTCGCCCTTTTGGTTTTTTAAAATTCAAATAGATCCGAGTTGTAGACATGGCAGAACACATTTGAGTAAATTCGAAAGCTGTTAAATATTCATGAGTTTAAAATTCATATACAAACCTGTTCCTTTTAAAAGGTTTTTGATCATGGCTCTTTTTGGCTGCAATCATGCACCACGATTAGGAAGTAAATTCATACTACTGAGGCTGTTAAAAACCAGGAAGCCCCAGCTCATTAGGCAAGAACAGAAGAGTACAGGAATTTAAACATGGATAAGTCTGAAAGCAGGGGTGGGTAGAAAAGGGAAGAGATCTGGAAATAGGTACAAGGTCTGGAAGGAAAATGATGGCATAGAAAAGAAATATACTGAATGTGACTGGAATAGATATGATCGTCTGGAGGAGAGAAAGGGCTTTCCTGTGAAAAAAAATATTATCCTATAACACTGGCAAGAATAGCTTGCAATAATGTTACTACAGTGATATGAACCACCACTGCAGAATAATATCATAATTGAAATAAGGGCAAGTGGGGCACAATTAACAAAAGGCACAAATAACTGAGGGAATGAATAATGTTATTTACTAGGCCTGTCAATTCATCGCAACTAACTCACGTGATTAACTCCTAAAATTAATTGTGATTAATCGCAATTTTAATCACATGGTTAAACAATAGAATACCAATTGAAACGTATTAAATATTTTGGATGTTTTTCTACATTTTCATGCATATTGTATTCTGTGTTGTAACTGAAATCAAAGTGTATATTCTTTCTGATTACAAATATTTTCACTGTAAACATGATAAACAAAAATACAGTATTTTTCAATTCACCTCATACGAGTACTGTAGTGCAATCCCTTTACTGTGAAAGTGTAACTTAAAAATGTACATTTTGTTTTGTTACATAACTGCACTCAAAAACAAAACAATGTAAAACTTCAGAGCCTACAAGTCCACTCAGACCTACTTCACGTTCAGCCAATCGCTGAGAAAAACAAGTTTGTTTACATTTACAGGAGGTAATGCTGCCCTCTTCTTGTTTACAGTGTCACCAGAAAGTGAGAACAGGCATTTGCATGGCACTATTGTAGCTGGCATTGCAAGGTATTTACATGTCAGATATGCTAAACATTCATATGCCCCATCATGCTTCGGCCACCATTCCAGAGGACATGCTTCCATGCTGAAGATGCTCGTTAAAAAAATAATGCACTAATTAAATTTGTGACTGAACTCCTTGGAGGAGAGTTATATGCCACCTCCTCTGTCTTACCCACATTCTGCCATACATTTCATGTTACAGCAGTCTCAGATGATGACCCAGCACATGTTGTTCATTTTAAGAACACTTTCACTGCAGATTTCACAAAACACAAAGAAGGTACCAATGTGAGATTTCTAAAGATAGCTACAGCACTCGACCCAAGGTTTAAGACTCTGAAGTGCCTTCCAAAATCTGAGAGGGATGAGGTGTTGAGCATGCCTTCAGAAATCTTAAAAGAGCAACAGTCTGATGCGGAAACTAACAGGTAACAGAACCTGAACCACCAAATAAGAAAATCAACCTTCTGCTGGCAGAATCTGACTCAGATAATGAAAACAAAAAATCTGCACTGCTTTGGATGGTTATTGAGCAGAACCCATCATCAGCATGGACACATGTCCCCTAGAATGGTGGTTGAAGCATAAAGGGACATATGAATCTTTAGCACATCTGGCACGTAAATCTCTTGCGATGCCGACTATAACAGTGCAATAAGAACTCCTGTTCTCACTTTCAAGTGATATTTTAAGCAAGAAGCAGGCAGCTTTATCACCTGAAAATGTAAACAAACCTATTTGTCTGAGTGATTGGCTGAACAAGAAATAGGACTGAGTGGACTTGCAGGCTCTAAAAGTTTACCTTGTTTTATTTTTGAATGCAGTTTTTTTGTATGTAATTCTACATTTGTAAGTTTAACTTTCATGATAGAGATTGCACTACATCTTGTATTAGGTGAATTGAAAAATACTATTTATTTTGTTTTTTACAGTGCAAATACTTGTAATACAAAATAAATATAAAGTGAGCACTGTACACTTTGTATTCTGTATTGTAATTGAAATTAATATATTTGAAAATGTAGAAAACATCCAAAATATTTAAATTAATGGTCTTCTATTATTGTTTAACAGTGCAATTAAAAATTTACTCTATTAAGCATGTGATTAATCATGCGATTAATTGTGATTAATTTTTTAATTGCTTCACTGCCCTATTATTTAGATGTATACCTAGCTCATTTTTAAATGCAATGTTAGATATTTTCAATGAAATCTGTTGAGCCAAGTGTATATTGTAGTACCACTCCACATGGTCAAAGCAGGTGTGACATGCTGCTGTACAAACACATCTTGAGAGGCAGAAAAGGAAGAGATCTCCATCATAAACTTTAGCCGAGTGGTTAGGGAACATCATGTGAGGTGTAGGAGGTCCCAGTACAATTTCCCCTCTTTCTGAGGGGGAAAAGGGATTTGAACAAATTCAGAAGATAAAAATGAAAGAAAAATATTTTCATCTTCTGAATGCAAAACTTTTTTAAAATGTCATACGAATGCACTGACACCTTCTTAACAGAGATTTACAGATGACATGCTTTTAAGTAATTGAAAATATATGTATAATTTAGTGATTTTATAATACATGGATACATAACATTACTGTATAATGTTACTAAGTTTTTTAAAAAAAAAACAAAAAGACCACTGAAAAACTTTGTATATTAACTCTGGTTTTGTTTAAGAAAAAAAATCTGTTTCTTTCCATCTCTCTGTTTCCCAATGTCCTGTTACATGTGTGACTATCTTTAGGACTAATCCTGCTACACTTATGCACGTGTGTAACTTTACTCACATAACTAGTGATATATACAGCAAGTGTTTGCAAAAATCGGTCCCTTACATTGTAATCACTTTGAGGCAGGAACCATCTTTATTTTGGAATCTGTAGAGCATCAAGCTCATTGCTTTGCTAAAGGAATAAATAACCATGGAAGTATCAGTTCCACAGGGCAAAGAAAGCTATTTTTTGCAAACTTTGACCACTATATTTAAAGGGCATAATTTTGTTGCTTTGGGATTTTCTGTGAGAGACCTGTAATGAAAATAATGGAGTTTAAATGTAAAACAGAGTAGTCTTCTCCTTCTCGCTCATAAAACTGTACAAAAGCTAGACAAAATAGACTTTTTGAGCCTCATTGGCCTTATGCTTCTCATAGGCCTGGTGGTTCCTAAATGAATTATTATATAAACTGTCCTTATTAAACATTTTCACATATTAGAAACTATGTCAGTGAAGTAAATGGGATTCTATAGGAGAACAGAGGTTTGCTTACCATGGCATCAATCTGGAATTCTTACATTAAATTAGGCAACAGGATACAGTGGTATTATATGGTTTGAAGGCATGTATTAGATCTCTGGTGACGGTAATCTACTGCTCAAAATCATAAATAATGAGATCTGTTATATATTATGTTTCATCCACAGATCTCAAAGCATTATTCCAGGATGGGGAAATGGAGGTAACATAGAGACGTAAGTGCACAAGGTCATCCATTAGGCTAGTGGAAGAATTTGGAATAGAACGCAGTCTCCTGAATCCTAGCCCAGTTCTCCATTCAATAAACAACACTGTCTTCCTGATACACAGTTTAGTTCAACACAGAAGCACACTAAAGTCCTAACAAAGCTATCTTGTAAATCTAAGACTGAGTTTTTAACCACTTATTGAAAATTCTCCACATTGAGAGGCCAGGCATAAAATGGTATAGATAAGATCCCCTTACATTAACTTAAACTCCCTGACCACCTAAAAACCATACACCACCTTACACTTTCTTCTCCTCCACTGGAAAGCTCAGACTCCCTTATGCATCAGAAATGTAGATATAAATAATTCTGAGAAAGTCTGAGTGTAAAGGAAGTCATAATTAGAGTAAAGGAACCAAGTGTACAGCACCACCTCTGAATTTGGCTCACTATCTGAATCAATGTATAGCCAACAGTAAGTAATATGAATATGTAAAAGTGAAGTCAAAGTATTTTTAGTGTCCAGAGGTATTGTCTTCCATTATTTTTCACAATCCCATGTGCTTTGTATATATCACCACCACTCAAGTGTTTCAGTTACAAGATTAATGAAAATGCTAACATGGTGCGAAGAAATACATAGCAACATTTTACTCTGGCTGCACCTGTATTCTATCTTATGTTGTCTAGTTTAATATAATATGTCCGAGCTGCCAGTAGGCAGAACACAATGTAAATAAGCTGTCAAACTTAATTGGACTATTCTGCAAAAAATAGCCTCCATAAATTAAAAAAAAAAGTTTGTGGAGTATGACAGAAAACAAAATATATTTAATTTTTTTCATGCAAGCAGTTTGGAAATAATCTAAAATGGAAACATTATTTCAGGGGAAAAAAATCAACAGCATCAGTTTCTTTTGATTTGAAAAGGCACCGAGGGTAGTTTACCTGCAGCTGTCAATATTGTTTCTGCCCACAGCATTAGAGAAGGTGAGAGGTCCTAGATTATTGATTTCTAGGACTTGCATACAGCCGGTGAAATTGTAGACAGGTTCAGGCACCTAGAGAGGAAAAAAGAAAACAAAACACACATCTCTCACATTTGCTGTCTTTATAGTTCAGTTTTAAAAGAATCATGTTTCTGCTTAGGATGTGTTATCCATATTGGGCCCAATCCCAATCCACACCAAACTCCCAATGCAGTCAATGGGTATTTGGTCTGTGTAAGGATTTCAAGACAGGACTCATACTGTCGCAAAAGGGGATAGTATTCTAATTCAGTCCATAATTAATATGGCAGAAAAAAATAGTTTAAAAAAATCACATAAAAAACCCCCAAAGAGGTACTTTAGTGGTAGTCAGTTTCTTACTGTGTCTTTTAGAGATATAGGCAGGCTCACAAATACAGGGACCCTAACATAAGTTAAGTGAGTTTGTCCAACTCTGATCAGCTATTTATTGGTGGTGGGAGCAGGAGGATGGTGGCTGCAGAGGTCTGGAAATTCCACCCTTTAAATGATCTGTTCCCCAGTTTTAAGATGTTCACTACCATTAATCATATTTAGTACAGTAGTGCCTCGGGACAAACTAAGAATGGGGCCATGGTGTGATAGGCACTATTCTCTCTCTCTCACACACACACACACACATGCACAGAGTAGTAGATGTTCCCTACCCATGGCGCTCACAATCAAATAGGCAAGACAGATGCAGGATGGGGAAAGGGATATAACACAAGCAGAGTAACCAATGTGACGGTTACCAATGTAACCAATGTGATGGTGGCAAGCATCACGTGAGGGGTTTAGTCAGGCGGGACGCTAAAGAAAGAAAAGTGAAGGGAGAGGAGACATGGAAGGGGAGGAGGACAGGGCCTGGCAGAAGAGGGTAGGAGAGGCAGGTGTGCAGTGAAGCTGAGGTGGGAGAGTGCTAGGGAAGAGGAGGAAGTAGGAAAAGGAAGGGGAGAGGCAGGGTTGGAGCAAACAGCCAATCTGCACAAGGCAGAGAAAGTCCAGTCAAAATTGTAGAAATATCTCTGAATGCATAAAGGTCTCTACCTTGTGCCCTCAGCGTGCCTTTGTTTAGATCTCCCCTGCTCAATTCTAGGTGGGGAGGGCAGGGAGGGGTGTGCTGCAGGGAAGAGGTGGTGAATAACTGCCAGGGCATTTTCCCCCCCTTATTTATTTCTGTGGTTTGCATCATCATTTACTAAGTATAGGGGAGCAGATTATCTGGAGCTCATCCACTGAGGTATTGCTGGAGGTATTCACTCCACATTAGCACAGACAACGGTACTGGCCTTTGTGCCTTATTTACAGAAGTGCAGGTCATCTGCATTTCCTATTGACTTGAATTGGAACTCAGAGACAGCAGTGGAATATTGGATATAAGGATTCTGTTCCTAGTTCTGGGAGCACAGTACGGTCAAGCACTTAGGCTAGTGGTTACAGACAGCATAGTCAATGCACAGATTTTGAATATTCATTCGGAAAGATACTCTAGTAAAGTGGATGAGGCTTAGTTCTGTCATATGAGAGAGTGTGGCTGCACTCCCAACTCTGCCTGAGGGCAACCTCTCAGTTATGTAAAATAGAAAGAATGATAGTTGACTACCTGTTAGGGTAGGAGTATGAAGCATTGGTCACTAATAACGGTTGTGAAGTGTGCAGAAATATTAACACCAGTCAGTTGAAGAAATGAAGCCAAAATTCCTGTTATCTCCTGTCTCCCAGCCCACTGTACCAATGGAATTTCTCTCTCCCTCCTTCACCAAACTCCCAGATATGCAGAAAGGTATGACAGGGCTGCCAGATGTGTGGCATCTGGAAAATCTGCTTCTTTTGCCAATGTCTGCATAGGCGAATGCTGATGTAGATCCTGAGCTGATTGGCTTTTCAGGTTTCACCCTTTACCCTGGCTCACAGATGCTTGTTTTTATATATGTATTCATTTCTAGATATTTAACAAACATATCATTTTAAATGTAATAGGATACATGATATATTATAGTATAAATTTAAGATGGACTGAAATAGAGAGTTATATGCTCATATAACTTGAAGTCTGGTAGTGACATGGGCCCTCATAAAATTATTTCTGTGAGCGGTGAGGTTGTTAATGAATTTGAAAGCTTTATCAATGCTGGTAGGTCTGGCTGCATAATTATATATATTTCCTCTCTTAACCTTCTATATTGTTTCATTGTCTCTTTTGACTACCATTGTTCCAACATGAACTCAGTGGCGGTATTTCAAATTAAATTCTCATTATTTGTACTGTAAAAGAGAAAACAAGAGACACTGATAAAACAGTCAAAGGTCAAATACACTATAGTTATAACATTTACATCAGCTACGGTCTCTAGTTAAGCTCTTTCAGCATGGATAATGTCAAGTTAGTGCAGGCAAAATCATCACCATAGCAACCTACAGTCTATAGTGCACATGGAAGAGCAAATTAACAACTCAGTTTGGGAATAAAAAAAAAATCTGCATTTTTTCCAAAACTGTTTTTTTTTTTGTGAATACTTTCTGGTTTATATCATGATTGCCAGAAAACAGAAATCTACTGAGTGGGTTCTTCATTACTTCCCTTAGATTTCTGATCATTCCACTTTAATTTAATGCTTTTTTCTTTGATAGAAATAAAATAGTTATGAACCTCTTCTTCTTTGCCCTAAGCACAACTACATCACAAACATTTCTGTCAAATAACACCCACGTGTGGAGTGCTAAGCCGAATGAACTGCTGGTGTATTTCCAGAGATGTTCATAAATAAGAGCAGTTAATCAGGAGTAAAAAAATGGATGGCTCTGACTCTCTTTTTATTAGAGAGAAGATACTGGTTTTCTGTATCAGTTAGCAGAAGGGATTATTAGACTTCATAATTATTCATAACACTTCATAATTATTTGTATTTCATTTGAGTTTTGGATACATATATACTGACACTGTAGAACTTATCACCTGCAAATCAGCTGCAGTAGATCCCAGGGTGTTAATAATTCAACATAATTAACTACACAGCAACTAAAGAGATGTTTTTACAATGCAGAAATGAAGTATAAGCAACCACTTACCCTGACAAAAAAAGATTTGTAAATATGGATAATTACATGGAAGGCAAAAGCCAACAGATTATGTGTACTTGAGTGACTCTGAGGCACAGGGTGCAATACCACAATCCTCTTCTCATACCTGGTGCCCCTTGCAGGCTGCCTGCCAACCTTGGAGGGTCTTTCTTCAATGGTTTGGCCCTCCAGCTAAGTCAGAAAATCCAAATCAATCCCTTCTGAGATATTAAAGAGTCCAATAAATAAAGAGTTTATTTGCCCTCACTAAGGACTTCATCCCTGGCTTTAAATTCAGCCATTTGTTCAGGCTCCCAAATAGTCTCTGTCCCGTTCTTGGTGTTTATGCCACTTTACTTGTGGCTGATATGGGAACCCAGGCATGCCCACTTCTCTGGGTTCTAAACCTGGACCCCATAAACAGCAGCTATGTACTGTGTACTTCAATCCTTCGCTGCTATTTCCCTGGGTCTCTTCCTACTGGACCCTTTTATTTCCAACCCTATTTCAGCCAGCATCCTCAAGTTCTTCTCTCTGCAATCCCAGCTATGTAAGTTCAGTCAGTCATAAGCTCTTTCTAATTGCTGAGCTCCTTTGGCCAGAGAGGATAACCCTCCTTCACTCCTCGGGTCCCAGCTAGGAATTGAACTGCTAAAGCCAGGCAGCTCCTTTTATCTGGGCCAGCAGGGCCCTGATTGGCTGTTGCTATCTTCTCTAGTCTTTGGAGGACCAGGTATGTCCACACCTTAAATACTGCATACAATTCTGATTGCTCTATCTTAAATAAGATATATTAGAATTGGACAAAGTACAGAGAATGGCAGAAAAAATGATAAAGGGTATGGAACAGCTTCCATATGAGGAGCGATTAAAAAGACTGGAACTATTCAGCTTGGAAAAGAGACAACTAAGGAGGAATACAATAGAGGTCTATAAAATCATAAATTGTGTGGAAAAAGTGAATAAAGAAGTGTTATTTACCCCTTCACATAACACAAGAACAAGGGGTCACAATGAAATTAATAGACAGCAAGCTTAAAACAAACAAAATACACACAATGCACACTCAACCTATGGAACTCATTTCCAGGGGATGTTGTGAAGGCCAAAATTATAACTGGGTTGAAAAAAAATAGGTAAGTTCATGGACGATAGGTCCATCAATGGCTATTAGCTATAATGGTCAGGGATACAACATCATGCTCTGATTACCAGAAACTGGGATTAAAACAGGGGATGGATTGCTTGATAATTGCCTTGTTCTGTTCGTTCCCTCTAAAGCATCTGGCAGCAGCCACTGGCTAGACAGACCATTGGCTGACCCAGTATGACCATTCTTATGTCTCTGTGGTTTCCAAAAGGCTGCTCTGGAGAGTCCTCTATAGACAAGCTTGGAGCACCCGCTTTTGCTGCTCTTTTCCTCTCAGCTTGTTGCTTCTTGGGGCAGGGTGTAGTAGGACTGCTGGGTCCCCAGGAGGGAGCCATGAAGGCCAAACAGACCCCATTATATATTCCAAACCATTTTGTTAACATGCCTTATTGATTAAACCAAACCACGGCTGACACATCATTTAAAAACACTGACAAACTCAAACAAATATCATTCTCAATGTCCTTGATCTTTTTTCATACAAACTGGACATATAGGGTTTGGATATTGGATATATATATACTGGATATATTGGATTTTCTTACTTATTCACACCCCAAGGAGATTTCAATATGCCTTTGTGTTTTGTGTTTGTACAGGGGCTAGCGCAGTGAGCTTCTGGTCAATGATGGGCTCCCATAGGCTCCCACAATACAAATAATAATTTTCAATAGTGTTGGCTGAATATTTTTGAACTCCCCCCACACTTTTAAGGATTTATTAGATTTCAAAGTCTTGTTACACATAATAAATTATGACGGGATGACTTATATGAGTAAGAACCTGAAGAATTAGGTTTGAATTAATTTGAATTGTTCGGTAGATAATGTTTCATATCTTC